TAGTGTTTATCAGGTTTCTCCACTATAAAGTTACTCTTTTTGTCCCTCTTTCTCATACTATATTCTTTGATACCTCAAGTTTTACAGGCATCAAATAATGAACCTCTTATACTTCTAATTCCGTCTTGACATTGGCTTCAGGAGGATCTGAACTGGCACAGTTGGTTTCAGTAGTGATCCAATGAAGCAAGTGGTAAGAAATCATGATCCCTTGCTTAGTTACTGGAACCGAGCCAGTTTTACACAGGAAACCACTGAAGAGGTGGCTGAGTTCCTAGGAGGCCACTAATATGCACTTTAACGATTTTCTGAGTATTTTCCAAAAGGAACCCATGGACATTTACTTGAATGAATATATATTCAAAAGGGGGAATATCCACACATTTGGGAAACTGATGGACACATGATCTGAGTTGACACTGAACCAAAGCATCATCATGGAATCAAATCCAAGTGCGACCACAGGGCATGAGTTAGCTACATGAGCAGATAACCTAGACCTCCATTTCACCCACCACTGTTATACCAGCACCCCTATCTCAGTTCACACTTGTGACTATATTGAGAGGGGTCCTGCACATCTAGGTAAAAGTAATTTTTAAAAGCGAAATGTTAATTTATCAGTTGGCCCCAAATGTGGGTACAAGCAGAAAATGGACAATGACTGCATTATAGCCTTGAAAGGCAGCAGTAAGAGAAAATCTTCAGGGTGGAGCTTTGAGTGGTAGACCTGACTACCCACTTTGTACGGAAGTACAAGTGGCTTGAGATGAGAATCAATATGGACACATGGACCATAGCAAATATCTAGCCATAGGTTAGGAGTTTGGAAGGAAAAGGATTGAAAGGTCAGAAATAAGAGGGTCTGGGGCAGAGTCATGTGAATGGAAATAAAGAAGTAGGGAATGGTACGCAGAAATTTTTTTTACAGATTATTGCCCACCAGATCCATCAAATGACAAAGTAAATGAAATAATTCATCAGTTAACATTAACTAGATTTTATCCTTTGCCCACCCAGAATTAGCATGATGGGCAGACAAATAGAATGCATGGATGCCACATACAGATCCAGTTGCATAGACTTTCATTTATCAGTGTTGGTCCAGGTACCTCTGTATATAGAATCTACCAACAATGGAGATGAATTCTGGGTCCCTAACATGGCACTATTGTTTGAGGAGACTAACTGGCACTTGGTGGCAAGTTGACTACATTGGGCTCCTTCCACCCTGGAAAAGCCAGTGGTTCATTCTCACTGAAATAGACACTTATTCTGACATCTTTTCTGGGTATGGGTGTGACTTTCCTACCCTCAGAGTCTTAGCCAACACCACCGTGTGTTTCCTGAATGCCTGATCCACAGGAATAGAACACTACACAAGCTAGCATCCCATCAGATGTCTCACTCCAACGTTGAAGTCTATCAAATCTGTTTAATAACAGGAATATCAATAATATTCCTCAGATTTTAAATATTTTTAGAGATCTTATCTAATACTGCCCATAATAAATTTCCCTCAATCAGGGGGTACTTTGAATTTGAGTGGGCATGTGTTTTTGGCAATTCCTTTTGCTATGGAAGGGAAAGAAAAGGTCCAATGCCCTCCACTCTGCTCCAGCCCACCACTTCTGACCAACCTGGTTTCCCAGCAACATTATACTGAATGTTGTGGAAGGGTCTCATGGCTATGCTAAATAATTGCAAATCCTCCTACCCCCTAAGTCACCAAACCCTTAGGACTCTATCTAGTTCCTTCCCCATTGCTGTGTGTTGTTCCTGTGAACATTCTGTATTCATTCTTGTTCTTCCCCAGGCTCCCTTTTTGTAGTGTCTACTACCATCCAGCACTGTAGTTCATTGTTATGGGGAGTTGAGGAACCTATAGAAAACCCAACAATCTTTACCTTTATCTAGTTTTAAGGAATAACATACTTGATCCTTGACCATTTAAAGAAGGACTCAAGATAGCATTGGATCACTAATATTTTGTTAATATTTATTGACTAAGTGTACTGACTCTTTGACACTTTCTCAAACCCTTAGCTAAACCAAGGAACATTCCAACAGTCTTAGAATTTTATAATGCAAAATGGAATATATAGTACTTTAAGGAATGAACCAAATGGTCATTCACCACTCAAGACCATTAGGTCAGAACATCCTGGTCAAAGTATATTCCTGAAACTCAGTGCCATGGAAACTGAGTAAGAGTAATTTCCTCTGACATCTCTGGGATTCATACTAATGATCCCTTATGCAGGGAGTCAACCTGTAACTTGTGTAATAAAGATAAAAGTAAGTATTCTAAGCACATAGGGTGTATGGTTCTGGGAGAGATGGAGATGATACCAAGAAACAAGACTTAGGAAATAAAACTTAAAAAGACACTCTATTCCTTTGACCACTTGATGCTATGAAGGATCTTTACATACTGAGTTTTAGTGCCATTATTGCTAATGCTGTTTCAGAATAATGGACATTTTAATTAATTAATTAATTAATTAATAAGATTTTATTTATTTATTTGAGGGAGAGAGAGCACAAGCAGGGGGAGCAGCAGGCAGAGGGAGAAGCAGGCTCCCTGCTAAGCAGGGAGCCTGAAGTGGGCTTCTATCTCAGGACCCTGGGATCATGACCTGAGCCGAAGGCAGATGCTTAACCGAATGAGCACTCAGGTGCCCAATAATGGACATTTTAATGAAAACATCTTTATAGTAATGTCCTGTTAATTGAGTCAGTTACAGAATCCAAATCAAAATAACCTAAGGAAACCTTACTGGATGGAAATAGTATATATTCTGGGGAAAAAAGAATACATGTGAAAGGTTGGGATAAAACTAGGCATCAGGGACAACAGCCATTCACTGCTTCTCTGTATTCATTCTTTCCATGCAGTCTGCTAAACAGCCTCAGAGCTTTACCTATTAAAACTTTTGCCACCAAGGAGAACCTGTCTTGAATGTCTGTCTGGATCTCCAAGCCAAAACCTATGATTGCACCCACCTGTGGTCAGCAGACCATCTCCAAAGTAAGGAGACGGAATCACAAAAGTAAAATGATGTTCCCGTGGTTACTTGTGGATATAAAAAGGTGAGGCAAGAAGGGTAGGAAAGAAAATGAGAGAACAAATTTTTAGAAAAACGAGAAATTAAGGAAATACAATAACATATACAATACATCCATAATTTACACATGTTCAGGGTGGAAGTAAGCCAACAGCAGAACTTCTCAAACTTGGCACTGGTGATACCTTGGACAGGATAATTCTTTGCTGTGGGGGCTGTCCTAGGCATTGTAAGATTGTTACCAGCATTCCTGGCCTCTTTCCACTAGACACCAGTAGCACCTTCCTGGTCACAACTTCAGTAACGGTTGCAGATTTTGCCAAATGTCCCTGGAAGGCAGGTGGCAAAATTGCACCCCAGTTAAGAACCACTGGCTTATAGCAATCATATTCCATGAAATCACCTGGAGAATATGTTGGAGAGTAAAGTTAGATATACAGATATGTAAGTTAGTCATCGTAGGAACTGAACATGAAGAATTTATACTTATAGAATGCATCAGAATGTCCAGAAATTAATTCGTTTTCAGTCCTAGGTTGTAACACTTCACAAACTCAAAGTCAGTCTTCTCGTTTTTAAAAATGGAAGCAATGCCAACTCCACAGAGTGGTTTTGGGAATTAAAGAATTATGTGAAAGCACTTTGGAAGCTATGAAGTAGTCTGTAAATATCAGAAAACACTAATAAATAAAAGCACTGTAGAGAATCAGCCCTTTTCTCTACCTAAGGCTTTTTCTCAGGAAGTTGGTTAGAAAAGAGGCTGACTACACAGAAATTATATATATGCAGGGCTTTTTTTGTATAATTCTCATCTTGCCCCATTTAAGAATAGTCTTTTAATATACTGAAGTTAATAAATATGGAGTTTATACCATTTGATGTGTGCTATGTTAGGTATTTTTATTCAGATCATTTATTAGTACTACAAATTGTAAGTAGTTATTTTATATTATTAATTTATGAACTTTTACTGTACATATTAAATAACTGCAAGTAAATAACATTTAAAATTTTTATTTTATTTTACCACATAAATTTGGAAGCAGCCAAATTGCTCAATCACAAATAATTAAACTTTTGACATTTATTTGCCCTTAGTGACAACAAATTATATAGCCTAATAAAGAATTACAAGGCTTTAATGAAATATTAAACATGAAGTAGAAATAAAAATTTATCTCCTAACAGCATGTACAAGTACCACTTAAATTATTTAATACACATACAATACAAATATACATAATGATATTCAGTGCCTTGATATCCCATGGTCAATATCATCACCACCATCATCACCACTATCAATAACAACTATAATAGTAATTAATTGATTTCAAATAAAATAAAAAAATAACAACTGTAACAGTAATGATAAAAATAACAAAACCAAAGGATATTAAATGGTTATCTTGAGTTGGAATGATCCTAAGCACCTTAATACTTGAGAAACTTATTAACCCATTTAAGAAATATTTAAGACACAGAGATGTAAACATATTTAGAAAATGGGAATTCCTTCCTTTTTAAGGATAACACAGTAAAATCTTAAAACTAATTAGACTGGTCAAATCTTTTTTAGTATTTCTGTCATCACGTCTTTATCTACTCTTAGTGTCCAAGAGCTTGCCTTACAATACTTACTATAAAAAACATGTTTTTTTGTTTATTTGTTTCTGTTTTTCTAATTTAAATTTGTTGAAAAATATAAGAAAAAGAGACTAAAAGGTATTGCAGTAGTGGTTTGTACATATTCTTTTTTGTTAAAGCTCAGTGTTTTAATTTTTGCTTTTACTTCTTTAGTTTTTGTATTATACATTTGTCCTATGATGGTGGTAAATCTAAGCCCTCCTCCTCCACCCTCTCCTCTTCCTCACCCCCTCTCTCCCCTTCCTCCTCTCCACCCCCTTCCTCACCCCCTCTCTCCCCTTCCTCCTCTCCCTCCTTCTTTTCTTTGTCTCCTTCTTCTTCCTCCACTTCCTCCGCCTTTTCCCTGTCTTCTTCCTGTAAATTTTCTGGCTCTACCTCGGTTACTTCAGGGGCAAATATCATCTCTTCTTCCAATAATATATTTGGAAACCGAGACTGTATTATCAAAACAACTATGATACATATTGAAAAACATAACATTCTCAGAAAGAAAGTAAATAAGCACAGTGGATCACACACAATTGGCCGGGGAACTTCCCATCTGGGATACCAGAATCGGTAATCTGTAAATAAAGCAGCAAAATTGAAAGCTGGATTTTGCATAAGGTAGTTAAATTGTCCAAGAAATACAGGACAACAATACATACATACGGATTGGTCACGATCTGCATTACCTAAAAAGAAAAAGAAAGTCCATAAAGAATTACATAAAATTCCTTCTTTCTCTAGAAATAAAATAATTTCTCTAAAAATAATGACATTCTTCTCCTAGTCCTCAGGTATCATGCTGCCATCTTTGATGTGCCTCTGCCAACCAGTAGCCCATCATAAAATACAATATATTCTCTTTTAGTAAAAGTCAGCCTAGTCTGCTAGGGAGAACACAGAAGTATAGGAATGAGGACATGTGGATTCTATTACCAATTCTGTCTCTAAATCATTGTCACCTTGTATGAATCACTTCACTTCTGTCCCCTAAAGATTTTTCCAGCTTTACCGTTCTAGGATTTTATAATATCTCTTACTTGCATCTCTCTTTTTTTCCCCAGATCATTATCCAAATTAATCTTCTGAATCTACTCACTTTCCTCATCTAATTCTTATTTTCAGGGGCTTTTAGTTGCTCTTCATTTCCTACATGGCAAAGTTAATTCTATAGCTTGGTATTCATTGTTTCTGCTATCTAGCCCAATGCTATCAAAATACTTTTCAGGGAATAAATTTCCTTCCCTCTGCTGACTGGGGCAGAGAAGATCAGAAAATCATTCCTGGATTCCATTAGGAAGGAAAGTGAAAGGATAACTTAGTTCTCACACATAGAGAACCCAATGGCAGCCAGAGGCTTTGTCTTGCAATTGACACTACCCTTACAAGAAAATTTAGAAATCACTCTTCAGATAATCCTAGAGATGACCTGCCCTATTGGATCTTTGAGGTTACTTTAGCTTTTTGTGCTTGGTCTTATTTTCCCTCATATTTTATGCAATGCTTTCTATTTTAGCACTCCTTTTAAAAAAATCTTTTACCACACAGTCTATATTTTCTCTACTTCATGTGTATCTATTGATCACTTAGTTTGAGCAATGATGTAATTAGTATATTTCTTATTTGCATGTTCCTTCATTTGTCATCACTCTTTTCCATCGATTACATTCTTCTTTTACTTTTGCACTTGATTGAATATTTAAATGCATTTAAGTCTACTTACATCTCTATTGTTTGATTTATCAGCTTTAAATAGTACCTTTTTGGCCCCTTGCTATAAAAGATGGGGAAATTAAGCACATTTTTCTATCTCTCTCTTCTTCTCCCAAGTTTTATTAATTATATCATTTGTATATTGCCAAAATTTATTTACATTTTGTTTTGCATTATAGCCTTCAGAATTTAATCTTTGTCTATTGATTAAGTCTCAATGCTTATAGTTTTTCCAGTGCAGCTTTTCATTTTCCATTTATCTCTTCTTTTTGGTGAAAGCCATCTTCTAGGGGTTTATTGAGAACGTGCTTGTGAGAACTATGTACCACAAATTTCTTGGTGTTCCCACAAGATTTGTCTATCTGCTTGTACTTGAATAATAGGTTTGGCTGAATTTATATACAGAATTAAGGACAATATAGGAATTATTCCACTGTCTCTTGGCATTGACTGTTATTGTAGAAAAGTTTCATGACAGCCAAAATGTGCAGGATTGTCAATTGCCAATGCATCATTCTACCGCACTGGTGTAAAGCTGATCCTGTGTTGCAGACCTGAGATCAGGAACTAACTACCTTTCTGTGAATTCCTTCCTTTGTATAGCTTCAAGTTAAGAGTTTGCCAATGACAGGAATGCAAGTGAAATTTGGAAGATTTAAGAGAAGTGGAAACCATCATTATTCTCCAGGGGTTGTTGTTCACCAGATACCTAAACAGATGTGAGATTCACAGTGGCTGCTTGGTAGAATGGGAAACTACCTGCTTTGCTGTCAAACACTGAGACAGTTTGGTGGGAGCTTTCTCAAAGGTCTTGAGAATTGCAGCAATTTTCTTGTAAGCTTTTGAGAACCACCTATTTTGGTGCTTAAGGCTAAAAGGTCTTCTGTTTCTGCTTCTTTGACCTTTTAACTACGGTTTCTCTGCCTTTTCATAGCAACTTCTGTGATCTTTGCTCCCCTAGAGTTTACACCATTCACGTAAGCTCTATTTTCTATGTTAAACACTATATTGTCAGAATATTTAAAGTGAAAAAAAGTATTTAAAGTGGCTGTTTTCCTGACTCAACCTAGACTATTAAACTCTAATGAATTATTTTGCATTTTGGTTTGGATGCTTAAAGGATTCTTTATTTTCCTCTAATTTACTAATCAGGGTCTAAATGGAGACTATTTTGCATCACTTTTTCCTGGCACATAATATGCAGTTTCTTTCTTTTTTATCTTTTAAAGGTTGTTGTTTGTATTTATTTATTTATTTATTTTCAATTGAGGTGTAATTGACATATAACATTATATTAGTTTCGGGTGTACAACATAATGATTTGATATTTGTATTTATTGTGAAATGATCACCACAGTAAATCTAGTGAGCATCTGTCATCATACATAGTTGCAAATGTTTCTTGTGATGAGAACTTTTAAGTTCTACTCTCTTCATATCTTTCAAATATGCAATACATTATTATTAACTATAGTCCCTATGCTGTACATTATATCCTCATGACTTATTTATTTTATAATTAGAAGTTGAAGTTTCTACCTTTGACCTTCTTTACCCATTTTGCCCACTGTCCACTTGCACCTCTGGCAACCACCAATCTATCCTCTGTATCTATAAGCTTGGTTTTTGTGTTTGTTGGTTTTTTGGTTTTACATATAAGTAAGATCCTATGGTATCTTTCTTTCTCTGACATTTCACTTAGCAAAGTGCCCTCAAGGGCCATCCATGTTGTCACAAATGCCAAGATTTCATTTTTTTATATGGCTGAATAGTATTCCATTGTGTGTGTGTGTGTGTGTGTGTGTGTGTATAGATAGATATAGATATAACACATTTTCTTTACCCATTCATCCATTAATGGATACTTAGATTCTTTCCATATCTTGGCTATTGTAAATAATGCTACAATGAACATGTGGGTGCATATATCTTTTTGAGTTAGTGTTTTCATTTTCTTCAAATAAATACCCAGAAGTGAAATTACTGGCTCATGAGGTCCATTTTTAATGTTTTGAGGAACCTCTTATTTTTTTCCAGTTTACATTCCATAGTAGGCATTCAATGTTTAGATTCAAGAATTTCTATTTCTGAGATTTTTTATTATTTCTTTAAATATCTGTATATCTATCTATTGCTTTGTTTTCTGTTCTATTATTTTTGTTCTGTTCTTCAGGGGCTCCAATTATTCACATACTGAATCTGATTTATCAGTGCTTATTTATAATTTTCTCTTTAATCTTTTAAATTTCTTGCTTGCATTTCTTAGGCTTGACTTCCATCCCTTCCTGTATTTTCCAGTGTTTTTGGTTCCTCGTGCTGTTTTCAATGCAATTTTCAGTTCTTCATTAGTATATTAGAGATATATTAAAATATTTTTGTTTATCTGAAATTCAGATTTAACTGGGCACCCTGTATTTGATCTGGCAACCTACAGGCTAATCCTCCACTTAGACCCCCTCCCACCTGGCTCAGACTTTGAAACCCAGATTTAACGTTCTCCCATGTTGCCAATTCAATAAGTACACTTTGATGAAAGGGAACACTGGGGTATCCTTCTCTCCCTGTCCCTCTTCTACTGTTGCCCCCATTCTCTTTCAGTATTTCTCATTGTTTTTTTTCCCCCCTTAGGATCCTATTCTTAGTATATTATTCTTCTTTCTCTGTGTACTGTACCTGGATGAGTTCTTCCTTTTTTATATTTTTAGACTTGTCTACATGCTCATGATTCTGAAATAGAGCCCTGATCTGTACCCTAAGCTTATGAGTCTTATATACTCAGATTTTAAACAGGTATTTAAAGCTAACAATGATCAAAACCCATCATCTATTTTCCATAGCTTCCTCTCTTCATATAATTCATATCTCAATCAATTACACCAAATCCAATATTTATATTAGACTCTTTTTCTTATCACCATATCAAATTAGTCTCTAAGACTTGTTAATTTTGTCCCATAAATATTTATCAAATTTGTCTCATCATCTCTATTTCTCTTACAAATACTCCAGAATGAACCTCATCTCTCCCCTGGACTATAACAAAAAACTTCAAATTGATTTGCTTTCCTTATATTTTGCATTAACACATTTTTTTTTAATTTAAAAGACACTTAGAAAAAAGTTGCAATACAGTACAAATAACTTTTATTTTGATCCATTTTAATGAAAGTGGCCATTCTCTACATGACCGTAATACAACCAACAAAATCAGGATATTAACATTGTTACATTACTGCCTTTTAATCTTTGGATTTCATTCCATTTTTTGCCAGCTGTGCTAAGAGTGTCCTTTGTAACAAAAGATCATGTTCAGATTCATGCATTACATTTAGTTTTCATGTCTCTTTATACTCTTCTGTCTGGGACAGTGCTTCAGTCTTTCACATTCATGACCTTGACATATTTTGAAGATAACATGCTAGTTATCTTGCAGACAAATCTTCAATTTTTTTTAGACAAATCTGAAATTTGGACTTATTTGATGCTTCCCTGTGATTGGACTTGGTTGTGCATTTTTGGCAGGAGTATCACAGAAGTGATGCTGTGTTATTCTCATTGCACCATCTCAGGTGGTGCAGGGTTTTGGTTTTGATTTTTCCCATTGCTGGTGATGTTCACATGGATCACTTTATTAGGGTGGTGTCTGCTAAGTTGCTCCATTGTGAAATTACTCTTTTCCCATTAGTAATTAAATATTTTTATGGGGAGTTACTTTGGAACTATGTAATACAGTGTTCCTCATCAAACTTCTAATTTATTCATTTATTAACTTATATTAGTATGAATCATAGTTTCCTGTTGTATCCAACGAGTTATAATCAATTACTATTTTTATTTCAGTACTCAAATTGTCCCAGATTCAATCATGGAGAGCCCTTTAAGAGGTCTTCTGTGTCCTGTGTGTCCATTTTGCTACAAGTCCCCATCACTCTTTGAGCACTTCTTTGTTTTTAGGTATAAAAAGATGGTCTGGGTTTATCTGATATTTTCCCTGCCCCAGCCCTGGGACCTTTCTCCAACGAGCCCTTGTTTCTTTTACTGCAGGCTAGAATTTGGAAACCAAGATGTGGGTGCTAGTTGTGTTCATTCCTTTGGGGGTGGGAGGCCACTGCTCCAAAACCATCTCAGAGCTAGGGAGTATATGTATACAGACACTTACATATACAAATATTTACATCTATGTTATTTATATTTATTGAAACCCCTAAATTCCAATACCTCTAATTTCAATTCATCATATGATTCATGTTTGTTTTCTTCCTTTACATATTTATACTCCATTCTCTGACAGTGAGAAAACTGGCTTCCATTATCCTTAATCTATTTTTTTTAGATTAAACAAACTCCCAGTATGTTTCCAATTTTCATTATTGCCTCTACTCTGTCCCCTACATGGGTGCCCTCCTCATTCTGCTTGGGCTCTTACACCCTACATCAGGCTGTAGGGTTGTCAGATTTAGCAAATAAAAATATAGGATGTTGCCATTTGCAATGATGTGTATGGAGCTAGAGAGTATTATGCTAAGGGAAATAAGTCAGAGAAAGACAAATAAATACCATATGATTTCACTCATATGTGGAATTTAAGAAACAAAACAGATGAGCAAAGGGAAAAAAAAGGAGAGAGAGAGGCAAAGCAAGAAACAGACTCTTAGCTATAGAGAACAAACTGATGGTTACCAGAAGGGAGGTGTGTGGGGGATGGGTTAAATAGGTGATGGGGATTAAGGAGTGCTCTGGTTGTGATGAGCACTGGGTGTTGAATGAAGTATTGAATCACTATATTGTACACCTGAAACTAATATTACACTGTATGTTAACTAACTGTAATTTTAATAAAAACTTAATATATATATATATAGGATGCCTAGTTGAATTCAGATTGCAGAAGACAACAAAGAATTTCTTGGACAAGTTTATCCCATGCAATATTTGGAATACACTTATACTAAAAAATATATATATATTTTGTTTACCTGAAGTCCAAATTTAACTGGGCATCCTGTATTTAATCTGGCAACCTATAGGCTGATCCTCCACTTGGATCCCCTCCCACCCTGCTCAGACTGTGAAACCCAGCTTTGGGCTTCTCCAATGTGTAGATTCCTTCCTTTCTCCACTAGGGCTCTGACCCCTCCAGTGCCAGGCCACCTCCCCCACATTAAAACTTTCCTCACTTAGCTTGGATTCTGATACCTCCTGTGAAATTACCTCTAAACATGGATGCTCCCTTATCTGCACAGATTGTAATACCTCTTACCAGGCCACCCCTATATGTGAATCTTTTCCACATTTTGCTTGGGCTCCAACAGCCAATGCTGAACTATCCCTCCATGGATGTAGTCCTTACCTGCCCAGTCTCTGATATTATATGTCAGGCTTCTCACTCCCACCCCATGTTGATGCCCTCCTCCATATACTTGGGCTCAGATACTACATACTGAGCTCTCTTGGTATGGAGATCCCTTTATCCTGGTATGTCTCTGATACCCCAGGTCTGACCTCATTCATGGACATCCATTTCAGTCCATAGAGGCCTTAGTCTCCTATATAAGACTATACCCCCATGTGGACACTGTCCTTGCCCTGCTTAGGCTATCTCCTCATGTCCACCGCACTGTATGAATCCCTTGTCATTCTGCTTAGGCTCTAATATGTCACATTCCTTGGCCCTCTGTGTGGATGCCTACATTGTTCTGACCTACTTAATGGTTTTAGGGTTGAATTCTTTTAGGAGGAGAAAGAAAAGGGGAAGAGGAAGAGCAAGATTTTGCATCTTGATTCAAGTGAAGCAAGGGCAAGAATGTTAGGGGGGTTTCATATCAGCAATGGCACTATGATGAAATTGTCCATTAGTTTCTTTATCATAAAATCACAATGTGCCCCTTACTGTCTCAATTTACCCCCTAACACATTCTTCCAAGCATCATATATTCCAGGGATGGTTGTACCTTTGGATTACATGCTCTTCTGTTTGGAAAAACTAAAAGAAAAATTTAACCAAACATATTTTCTACTTTTATCTTTTGAATATTTTGGAGGAAAAAGACTAAAAGAAAAGGCTATTAAATGTGTGCTACTTTACTTCTTTTCTCTTTATAAATATTTTAGAATATCCTATCCTTTAGAGCAGTCATTCTCAAACAGGCTGCTATTCCAGGAATTAACTGGCAAGCTTCTTTAGAGATAACTGTTCCTTCCCATTCCTTCTGTCAGACATTGTGGTAGGTCTCTAGGGACAGGAAAAGGGTAAGAGAGAGCAAAAAAGGCTATGCGGTCTAGAAAAATCTAAAGATGATATGGTTTCAACCCTCCTTTGTTAATATAATAACATGACTCTGATCAAAAGAACAATATTAACATGACAATGAAAAACTAGTGTTCAACACTTCATTTTTCTTGTCATCCAATGTGTTATGGATTTTTTTTTATGTTTAAGTTATTTTCTTTATCTTACTGCATAGAAAATCTGTGCATCTGTCATATTTGCTACATCGAGCACAAGTTATTCCTGGTTTATAAGGCCTTCTCGACAGAGATCCTCTACAAAAAAGCAGAAAACATTTAGTTAGAAAAAGTCTCAAATTTCATCATTTAAATAATATGGCTACCAATTTTTAGTTAGGTTATAAAGGTGATTTAACTAAGAAAATGGACTTTAGGAAGTACTGAAATTGGAGATGTAATCTTCTCCTTTTTCTCCCAAGAAAATAGTCTCTTCTGAAATGAATCCCCATGTCCTTGAAACAAAGTACTGTAATTTAAGTTTGAGCGAGTTTTAAAGCTGCTTTCATTTTAGTTTGTAGCAAAATTTTCCTTTCAAAATTATGTTATAGAATATTTTATAATTAATTGCTTTCTGCTTGGTACAAATATGTAAAAGTTTCTATAGAAATGATATATTAATTTTCTGAAAAGTTTGCAAAATCCTGAAATGCTTATTGTCCCAAAGACCCAGCTGCATGATTTACTTAGAGGTCTGCCTTAAAAATATGTAAATATATAAACAAGCAAATAAATTTAAATGGGATTTTACAAATTTGGTTTAATCCATTGTATAGAACAGAGGGAAGTGAGAAATTATTACATCAATTGTCCAGAGCTAGGTAAGAAAAAGAGGCCCCAAAGTAGATACAAATTGGGAAGCTTATATGAAGGATTTAGGTTAAGAAAGAGGGAAGATAGGCAGAGAAATTATATTTAACAGGAATACTTATTCACTCAGTGTGTAGGTGGAAATTTTAAAAACAAATGTTAGGCACGGATGCCCCTGGTTAGGTCACTCTGGGCCATCTGGAAGAAGGGTGAAACCTAAGAAATACATATGCGCAAACCTGAATATCAAATTTCTGAGTCATATCTTATCAGAAGTTTTTGGTGATCTGATACCCATGAATGGCAAGCTTTCAAGTCCATCAAAGACATCCAGTGGTTTGTAGTTATTTGCAGATCACACATTGCTTCTCTAAAGTCACTGCTCCACTATCAAAACATTTCGAGGAAGAAATGCATTTTGTTTAGATCTTAGCCAGAACACTAGCCTTTCAAAGATTCAGACTTGATCTAGTTACCTATACCTACACTCTAGCCTACTTTTCCTGCCTTAACCCTTTATCACTTGAAACAGATGCCTCCAATACAAAAGCAGCCCTTCTCCTGTCTTTAGGCACCAGTGATGGAGGACCTTGCCTTTGAACTTATGCAAAAAGCTACTCACTACAAAGACTGCCTTTAAAACCTGCAGCATAGGCCAATCACCCCATGATCGTAATGTCTGATGACTGCAGCCTAGAATAACTTTGGAAAGGCAAATAAAATATATATATATATATCAAAATAAATAAATTTACATCATGCTAGAATGCAATGGGCCCTCTTTTCCTAAGATTTGAATTTCATATCACTATTTATATAGAAATGCCAGATTAATACTTTCCCATGCCAATCTTTTTCTTGTTCTGAGTCTGCAAGAAGTTTAACCTAAATCAAGTAGAGTCCGAATCTACAGTACAATTCCACAACAATTCCACAACTGAATTGGAATTATTGGGCTGGATTAGGAGAAAACAACAGTTAAGTACCTATTACCAGCAAGGTCCATTGAAATTTCATAGCTGCCCTGGCAGTACTTGAAGAAACAGACAAATTTCTCTTCTTTTAGGCATTTGTTTTTTCCAAGAATCAGCCTGGTGGTTTGCTGAGACCAAGTCAAGACTGAACAGTCCTCTGGAACATTATTTAGACTCATATCTGGCCATACCTTCAGTGTATTACCACCTATAGGATATGTGTCCAGGCCCTAGATAAGGACGTGTTGCCTAGGTGGTTAATGAGTAACTATACACATGTCTAAGCCCAAGTCCATTAAAAGATCATTATTCAAATTTATAATAGAGCTATACCGTATAGATCATGACCTGAGCAGAAACCAAGAGTTGGACGCTCAACCAACTGAGCCACCCAGATGCCCCAAAGCTTTCTGTAAAACTCAGTCACATCTCTTCCCTTCACTTTCACATCTTGTACCTATAGGTCTAGGGACCACAGTTAAACACCAATAAAGCTCCTTTGAGATGGATATTATTTAGCTGCAACATCCTTTAATCCTCCCCAAGATACCACCTTCCTTCTGATTGTGCCTTCTTATTCACTTTGGCACCTAGGTCACCATCTCCCTTTTCAGTCAAAATTGGCCTTGTCCCTAAATTTGGGACATAGATGATTACAATATGCTTATGGATGATTCACCCAATAACTTGGTCTGTTACTGGATGTCTTTACCAACTCAAACAATGGTCCATAATTGTTGTTTTTGTAGCCATATTCTGGATCTTGTTATCCTCTAAAACTATTCTACCTCTTAACTCACAAAATCATATATTCCATTCACTGACTGGAGCCTCCTATCCTTGCAGCTTGCTCACTCATGTACTCCGGCCGTATTTCTCCATTAAGTGCATTGGTACTGCAAGTCTATTTTCTCTCTGTCTATCCTATTGTCTCTTCTCTATAAAGCTATCCTATTGTTTCTTCTCTATAAAGCTTTGCATATTATCTGGCTAAAACCCTAAAACTCTCCTGCACTGTTTTCCTTTATGTCTACCTGACAAAACCCCAGCGTTGGAAAAAATGACAGAACCTTACTCTCTGCATGCTCCATGTCTACTTCAAGGCTGCTGGGTGTTGCTGGGGAAAAATCATTATACTAGGTAGAGACTCTTTCTATGTTTCTATAGTCAGCTTCCTCCCTCATTTTCCATAATAACGCTTTCAAACCTCCCCAACCCTCAAAATTCTAGCTTCACTGTCTCCCTCTTTATTCTCAGGACATGATCTGTCGTACTTCAAGTAAAATATAATAGACTTTAGATGGGAACATGAGAAATTTTTTGTCACTAAATGTGATAACTATACCTATTCCCTTCTTCCTTCCTTTCTAATGCAACTGAAGAACTGTCCCTCCTCCTTTCTAAGACTCATCTCTTTAATACCATTCCATTTTCTCAGGAACTTGTATCTTTACATATGTATACACACACACACACACACACACTCGCACTGCCTTTGTTCTTTATAAAGCATTACTTTTATTCTGTATTTGACCTTTCATGTTAATATTTAAATAGGCTCACATCTTTCCCACTTTAAAAACAAAACAAAACAAAATAAAGATAACAATAAAAGAGCTCTCAATTCATTCTCAGCTGGCATCAGTTTCCTCGACCCCACAGAAATGGCTCTTCCTATGTTTATCAATGAACTTCTCTTTAATCTGTTATTTTGAAGTCCTTACTTTGCTCAACATCTTAGAATTAGAAATTTTGGACTACTACCTCCTTCTAAAAACATTCTTTCCCCACGCCTCCTGTGACACCACACTCTTCTGGTTTTTTCTCCTACCTGTGTGGTCATTCTTGGATTCCTCTTCCTACTTCATCTCCCTCTAATTGCCCTTAAATGTTGGCATGAGATTCTGGAGGGGCTGTTCCCTTTTTTACTCTATACCGCTCACTAGACAATCCCATTTACTCACATGATTTCATGTGCATGTACTCTAGCACTCTGCATCTTTGTTCTATCCCATGCCTCATTCATGAGCTTCTGACCCATATAACCACCTGCTTATTGAACATCTCAGTCAGTAAATCACAGCCAACTCAAATACATTATGTTCAAGATGGAATTCACCATCTTCCCTCCCAATAGGTTCAGTGTTTCGCATTGCATTTAATGGCAATACCAGTCATGCCTGAATTATAATTCTGAGAATCTTCTTTGGCTATTTCCTCTCTCATTACTTTTTTGTAAAGATAGATTTATTTATTTATTTACTTATTTATTTATTTTATTTTAGAGAGAGAGCATGCATGCAAGAGAGGGGAGGGGCAGAGGGAGATAATCTTCAAGCAGACTCCCTGCTGAGCAGGGACCCCCCCCCCCCTGAAGTGGGGCTCGATCCCATGAGATCATGACCCCAGCTGAAACCAAGAGTCTGACGCTTAACTGACTGAACCACCTAGGCGCCCCTCCTCTTTCTCGGTACTTAATATAATGACCTATAAATCCTGTTATTGCCTTCTCAAAGTATCTTAAATACTTCTCTGATCTCAATCCAGATATCCTTTGTTGATGTTAAAGCAAATAAGTAAGTAATACATGTATAATACTTACAAGTATATGGTGGAAAGGAGGAAGAGAAAAGGGCAACCTTAAAGGGGAAAATGTCTCCATCCTCCACTTTCCTTCTGTCTCCCCCAAAGATAACTTCTGTTTAACAGCTTCTTACGATTCCTTACCAGAAACAAGTATTTTTTTTCCATAAAAATTCTCAGTACTTATATATTGTGATAGATTGCTAGCTATCAATTTAAATATCTCTTAAAATACAGAAATTACAGTATTTAGCTTGCCACATTAATGGCTAACCTTGCTACGTTTCCCAACTTCCCTTGCAACTTAGATGTGGCCATGTGATCAATTTTATATCCGGTGGAATGCAAACTAATGCGCATCACTTCCCACTTGTGCTTTAAGAGATGGTCATGCTGACAACACATTTCTTTTGCCTTACTATGAGCTTAAGCTAGCCCTTGTCTGTGACGTGGACTTGATCTGTAGACATAGATTCTGCCTCCAGGGAATGGTTAAAAAACAAGATGGGAGCAACCTGGGTCTTTGAGTGACTAGTAGAGCAGAGCTACCCACCTAACTGAAATTTCCCATTTCTCTCTTCCTGAATCACTATATTTTCTGGTAATGCTAGCTGCTATGACAAAAGACCCAATCTTACTTTTTATTGTTCTGCATTTTACTTTTTCATCTAACAAGCGAGATTGGTACATAAAGACACCAGTATTTTCAATGGTTATATAATAATGCACAGTAAATTAATTGCTCAGTCTGCTATTACTGGAGTCATTAGTTTTATTTTTTTTAAATTTCAGTTTCATGCTATTAAAACATTCTAAAATGGGTATCCTTGTATATATATCTTGGCCAATTTTCATGAAGATATTAATAAGATAAAATCCTAATAAGGAGAT